CAGGTCCCTCCCGAGGTGGGCACGGCACCGCCGGCACCGGGAAGCGGGAAACCCCCAGGGGTGGTTTGGGGCTATTTCCGGTGGATTTGGGTTATTCTGGGTGGCTTTGGGGCCGTTTCGGGTGGATTTGGGGCTGTTTCGGGTGGATTTGGGGCCATTTTGGGTGGTTTTGAGGCCATTTTGGGTGGTTTTGGGGCCATTTTGGGTGGTTTTGAGGCCATTTTGGGTGGTTTTAGGGCTACTCTTGGTGGCTTTGGGGCTATTTCAGGTGGATTTGGGGCTATTTCAGGTGGATTTGGTGGTATTTCAGGTAGATTTGGGGCTATTTCGGGTGGATTTGTGGTTGTTTGGGTGGATTTGGGTTGTTTCGGGTGGTTTGGGGCTATTTCGGATGGTTTTGAGATTATTTGGGGTGGTTTGGGGGCTATTTTGGGTTATTTTGGGTAGATTTGGGGTTATTTTGGTAGTTCGGGGTCATTTCAGGTGGCTTTGGGATTATTTTGGGTGGATTTGGGGCTTTTTCGGGTGGTTTAGGGGCTATTTTGGGTGGATTTAGGTTATTTCAGGTGGATTTGGGGCTATTTCAGGTAGTTCTCAGATTATTCCAGGTGGCTTTGGGGCTATTCCGGGCAGTTTTAGGGATGTTCAGGGCAGCTTTGGCGCCATTTTCTCCCCGGTTCCGGCAGCACGTGGGGAAGTCGGGCGTCCACCTGAAGCGGGATTTCTTCCTGGCCAACGCCTCGCGCGCCCGCTCGGAGCAGTTCATCAACCTGCGGGAGGTGAGCACCCGCTTCCGCCTCCCGCCGGGGGAGTACGTCGTGGTGCCCTCCACCTTCGAGCCCAACAGGGAAGGCGACTTCGTCCTCCGCGTCTTCTCCGAGAAGAAAGCCGGCACCGAGTAAGACGCCGCCCTCGTTAGCGCTAACGAACCCCGGCGACTCGCCAGCGCCAACGCCTCTCTCTTCGTCTCCGCAGGGAAATGGACGACAAGATCCAAGCGACGCTGCCGGATGAGGTGAGGGCGGTGGGCGAGCGCGTAGGGCGCTGCATCGTCACCTTATTTTACCAAACCGGCCGTTTTTCTCCTCAGAAAGTGCTCGCTGAGAGCCAAATCGATGAGAACTTCAAGCAGCTCTTCAGGCAGCTGGCGATACTTTTGAAAAAGTCAATTAA